GTAGTTGTTCAGATTACCAGATACAAGCATGCAAAATTGGTCAAAAAAATTAAGCGTTAACTGTTCCTTTCGAAGGAGTGGTTACTTTCTACCCCTTCAAATCCAATTTTCTTAGTCCTTTTCAGTTTCTTCTCAACCTACTGTATAATAACTTCCAGTGGCTCCAAACCCACTGATGAAGCCCTTATTCCCACTCTTTGGAACTAAGAGGACGAACACGTTGTATTGATTCTATCAATTTTCTTCCTGACTTACCCTCCCAGCAGTGCCAGCAGTTCATTGATGCCATCTTCTAGGAAGGCTTTTCTTCTCTTTGCTTTCATATCACCACTTTCTTTTCTTTTCTTTTTTTTTTTTTTGGTCTTTTTGAGACAGGGTCTCCCTATGCAGTTCAGGCTGGGCTTGAGCTTACTTTGTAGCCCAGGCTGGTCTCGAACTTACAATGATCCTCCTGCCTCAGCCTCCCAAGTGCTGGAATTACAGGCGTGTGCCACCATGCCTGGCATCATACCACCACTTTCTTTTTAAAAAAATTTTATTTATTTTTTTGAGTCCAGTAGCGCAGTCTGGCCTCAAACTCACAATGCTCCTGCCTCAGCCTTGAGTGCTGGAATTACAGGAATGCGTGCGCCGTGCCCAGCTTTGGCTTGCCTCTTACCTCAATGACAACTACTTATTAACACTTAATGAGTACCTACTAAGTGCCAGACCCTGATAATACTTTTATTACCCATGAACAACATAGTGACATAGATAGTATACTGACTTAAGACATTACTTTTCTATATTTGTTTCTTTGTGTGGCTTTAAATAGCAGCACTTGGGTTGGTGTGAGGTCCTTCACTATTTCCTGTTTACATTTATACCACATGCTCTTGTTAGTGAAGTAGTCTTTGCTACTAACAGTAGTTCACGAGCTGAGGCGGCGGCATGCCCCTGTAATCCTCGCTACTCAGGAGACTGAGGCAGGAGGATCACAAATTCGAGCCCAGCTTGGGCAACTGAGCAGTTTAGTGAGACTATCTCAAAAATCAAAGAGATGGTGATGTAGCTCAGAGGGAAGGCCCTAGGTTTAACCCCCGTGCCACACACAAAAACAAAACTCTTATAAACATTTTGAATTCCTATTTGGTCCCTGAGTACTTGCAAAAAACAGTTTCATTAAATCTTTTTTCAGTGCTGGAAATCAAAACCAGGGCCTTATGTACGCCAGGCAAACCCTCTAGCACCGAGTTACGCTGCAGCCCGATCTATTTCCTTTTCTACTTTCTGAGGTGGCCTTGCTTGTTCTCTAGGCTTCAAAGTTGTGACTGTCCTGCCTCAGCCTTCTGAGAAGCTGGGATTACAAGTGAGTGCCACCGTGCTCAGCTAAGATATACTTCTTTATATATTTGGTCCCCCATTTTTTTTTTTAAAGACAGAATCTGTGTTGCCCAGGGTAGTTTGAACTCCTAGATTCAAGTGATCCTCCTGTCTCAGCTGAGTAGTTGGGACTATAGGGAAGTGCTAATTCACCCAACTTGGAGTATTTTTTAGACTAAAAAGTAACTCAACAGGTTTTGAAAGAGATGTCACATGTCCTCACTCTTTTCCCTTGGCAGATGACACACTGGATTGCCAGCTTGAGTAGCTTCTGAGCCACCTAAATTAGTAAAGCACACTTCTGAATGTGTTTCAGTGTGTCACGCGAGTGTCACCTTGGGTGCTGTATCTGTCCTGCGGCTGGTCCTGGGCCCATTCCTCTCTGGTGCTGTTTCCCTCCTCTGCTTCCCAGATAGATACAACGAGGCAAGCAGCATTCCTCTGCTAAGCCTTTTCACCATGATGTTCCTGTCTTGGACCCAGTAGACCATGAACTGAACTCCTTGCACCCATGAATCAAAAAACCATTTCCTCCTTTAAAGGTGGGGGTCAGGTGTTTGGTCACAACGGGAAGGCGGACCAAGACAGAAAATTGGTGCCAGGGGCAGAGCTGTTTCTGTGACTGTATCTGACTGTGTGGTTCAAAAACCTTTGGAAGCGATTTGTGAGAGAGATTTGGAAAGGTTTGGAAGTGTGGGTTAGAGAAGCCCTAGAATGCTGTAAGCAGAACCAGATGGATGGTTCTTATCAGATCTTAGATCAGAATGCTGATAGGACTGTGGACAGTAAAGGCCAGGCTCATGAAGCTCCAATGAGAATGCTACTAGGGTGCTGGGCATGGTGGCACACACCAGCACTCGGGAGGCTGAGGCAGGAGGATTGTTGTGAGTTCGAGTCCAGCCAGGCTACAAAGTGAGCTTAAGGCTCAACTGCATAGTGAGATCCTGTCTCCAAAAAGATAAAGAAAAAAAAAAAAATGAGAATGCTACTAGCAATTAACTAAAGGGCACCTGCATTCAATCCTGGCAAATAACTGGGCTACATTTTGCCTAAGTCATGAGACTTTGTGGAAGGGTGAATTTAAGGGTTATGGATTAATCTGGAGGAAACTTCAAGGCACTCCAATGTTGAGGCTCTGGCATTAATACTGCTGGCTGTTGTTAGCCAGACTTATACTGAGAATTAGGAGCAAAAAGCATGCTGGGTGTGGTGGTGCCATGCCTGTAATCCTAGCACTTGGGAGGCTGAGGCAGGAGGATTCTTGAGAATTTGAGACCAGCCTGGGCTACAAAGTGAGCTCAAAGCCAGCCTGAACTACATAGTGAGACCCCGTCTCAAAAAGACCAAAAAAAAAGGGGGGTGTGCAGCTGGGGATTTAGCTCAGCAGCACAGCACCTGCCTGGCAAGCGCAAGGTTGTGAATTTGATTCCTGGTACCGGAAAAAAAACCAAAAAAAAAAAAAAACCAAAAAAACCAAAAACAAAAAACAACAAAAAAAAGCATCACAGATTTGAAAAATTTTAAGTTTTGGCCTGTAAAGAACTATGTGTGAGAAAAAAAGGACCATCAACTATGTATGAAGTTGGGACCAAAGGAGACATGGGTGCTAAAGAGATTTTTTTTTTTTCCGGGACCAGGAATCAAACTCAGGACCTTACACCTGGCAGGCAGGCACTTGTGCCACTGAGCTATATCCCCAGCCCCTAAAGAGATTAATGCTATTAAAAAGGAACCAAGTACTCTGGGGCTAAGAAGAAAGATGCTGTGAGGGAAACTCAAGAATGGGCAAAGATCCACCCATTGCAGAGAATGGGTGCCAAAGTACAAGCCTTTTATTTGAGAACTCCCGGGCCCCCTGCTGGGGAATGGCCATCTGGGAAACTGATTTCCTGGGATTCATTTCATCATGCTCAGCCATCCCGGCAGTCAGAGGTGGCTGCAGCCACTGTCCAAGGGAGTCTGGCCACTGCTCTAGCTGGTGGCGACACCACCTAGATAATACTGGTTGTTCAGGCAGGCATGAGGAATGCTTAAGTTGTGGGGTTAAGGCTTCCATCCAGATTTCAAAGGAAGCCTTGGGAGACCAAGCAGTGTGCTCCTGAGAGGTGGGTGTGTGAAGCTGTGGAGCTGAAGCTAAAGGTGCAGCGGGGACCCCTAGGGAGTTGGACTTGCCAGGAACATAGATCTGTGGAGGAAAACTGCTGGCTGAGAGAGATCCTGTGGGCTGAGGCCAGCAAGACCACAGGGATAGGGCTGCACAAACCTTCTGGAACTCACATCTCACCACCATGTGCCCTGGGTGCTGAACGTGGGTTACAGGACTTTTTTTTTTTCTTTTTTGAGACAGGGTCTCACTATGCAATTTAGGCTGAACTTGAGCTCACTTTGTAGCTCAGGCTGGTCTCAAACTCACAAGGATCCTCCTGCCTCAGCCTCCTGAGTGCTGGGATTACATGTGTACAGCTCAAATTATAGGACTTAATATTTGCTCTGACAGATTTCAATTTTGCTCTGGTCCTTTTTTTTTTTTTTTTTTTTGTACCTGGAATTGAACGCATGACCTCACACATGCCAGGCAGGTGCTGTGCAGCTGAGCTATATCCCTGGCCCATCGTCCTATTCTTTTCTCTCCCTGTATTTCTACCTTTTGGAATAGCAATCTTACCCTATAACAATGTGTACTGGGATTACATAATTTGCACTTTGAATTTTCAGGGGTTTACAGCTAAGAGTTTACCTTCAATCTCAGAAGAGACTTTGGCACAGTGCTGAGGCTGCTGAGACTCTGGAGAAGTGAATTTTCAGCTGTATGCTGGATAGTATACAATATTAAGCAGAATTATGACCTTGTGTTTATTTGGAGATTAAGCAGGTTTAAGATGTGTTTGGGTATTACACTGGCAAGGGATAGAATGTGACAGTTAAGGTAACTGCCACTTTGATTGGCTTCAGAGGCACCTAGATTGCTAAAGCACACTTCCTAAGTGTGTCGGGGGTCACGGGGCATGAGCTCGGGTACGATGTCTTACCCCTGCCCTTTCTGCTCTGGCACTGCTCCCGTTCTGCTTCCCAGCCACCACGTGGTAAGCAACTTTTCTCTGTCACGATGTTCCTGCCTTGAGCCAGCCCCTCATGCACGGAAACTGTAGGCCAAGCCATTGGGTTGTCAGGTATTTGGCCCCAGCAACAGGAAAGCTGACCAATACAGAAGACCTCCTTAATCTGAGGAGGTTCTTAGGCAGCTCTAACTCTGACCTCAGAAATACAACATTCATGCATGCCAGTTTGCAGGGAGTCCTGGCATCGATTAGGACCATGGGAGACTGCAAATGCGCTGCAGTGCAAGTCTGCACCAGAGCCAGAACCCTCAGTGTTCTTGTTTCACAGCAGCACAGTCCGGCCCGAGGCAAGTCACACTAAAGGGAAGCTGCAGCTCTCAGGCTGCACCTCGTACATTTTCCAGCAGGATGACTCACTCTGGTTGGCTGACAATGGGGAAAGGTATCTAGGATTCACTTGAGTTCAGCTGGACGATTGGTGTGAAATATGCAAGACGAAAACAAACCGTTTAACCGCACGTAATGTACTATGCTAGTTGCTGATTACAAAGGTGTTTTTCATGAAAACGCAAGACAAAATAGGCCTAAATTTGTAAACATTTATTCTCTTGAACTGAAAAAGGCTTGCATCAGTACACATTGTACAGCCTTGCAAATTACACAGAAATTGAAAAGAAGGTTCTTTGTTCGTAAGTGCAATGAATCTTGGATGTCCAGTAATCTGCAAACAATGGAAACAATTCTAAACCACTTAAGAAGTCTCCAGCACTCGTCAAATGTATTTCGTTAGGTGACAAGAAATCCACAAGGAGGGGAATTCAAATAAGTGGCAATGAGTTATTGGCGGGACGCTTAGAAACAGTGAGCGTGTTTTCCTGGCTTGGATGATTCCTATTCCCCTCTGAATTTAAGTGGTTCATTAAGAGCATTAAGAACATAATTTACTTCACACGTAACGTTCATACTACCTAAATGAGTAAGGAAAGGACCCTATGGGGGAGTTCTGTATTTTCTGGAAAACGCTTCTATGTTTAGAGATTCAGGGGAAGTCATCTTCTACTTGTGGGCTTTTAGTGCCCTCAGCGCTCCAGAAGAATGGTACGCGGTTTCTGACTCGGTTACCCCACGCCTGCACTCTCCCCCTCAAACCCTAAGTTGGCTCACACTGTGCCGGCTGCAAAAAGAAATACAGGTTGAAACTGGTTATAGTAATTTTGAAGAATAATTTGCTGTACAATAGAGCTTTGGATCTGATACAAGAATTCAGAACTATAAAACAAAATAACTATAAAAGTTAGGAGGCATTTGAGCAGCATTTCCTCAGAAAAAGCTGCTGATTCTGTATCATTCTGGTGGATTCCTATAATCAGTAGGGTAAAACGTGTATCTCTTTTTCCCCTTTGCTGGATCACTGGCCTTTTTCCAACAGCTCTAACGCCATGACCACACATCCTAGGAGTCTCTAAATGTTAACAGGAGCTCCAAACGCCAAGCCAATCAGAGAAGGGAGAGGGCAGGACGATCACAGAGGTACAGGGTCCCAAGGTGGCTGTGTTACTGAGAACTTGCCCTTTCCAGAATGTGAAAGTCATAGTGCTTCTTGCTTGTTCTCAGCTTAAACTTGTTAACCGAGTTAATTTGTTTCTTCAGTGCATTTTGTGCAGCTGAAATGGAGGGGAATGTGGCTAGGACAGTGTACGTGGAGGCCAAGTCACTGGGTTTAGAGCGCTCAGGGTTGACAGTGCTGTCCCCGCCGCCACAGCAGAGGGCGTGGCGACGCAGCTGGGGCTGCGACTGGGGGTCCCGGAGCCATCGGATCTTGGCGCCAATTTTGAAGAGTTCCCCAAAAAGTTTCTCGGCTTCCACGCGCGTTATTCCATCTGGTAGTTCAGTAATTTCCAAGACTTTCCCAGCGACTAGGAGGGAAAGAGTGCAGAGTTAACACACCACTGTTGCCGAAAAAGTTGGGTAAAAAATATGCAGACCCAAATAGAGTACGAGAAACAAAACAGGCTTTTGTGAAAATATTACAAAACCACAACATTTTAACTGTTATGGTCAGCTTTTAAATCACTGCTCCTCACAACTCGGGCAAGGAGTGCGGAGTGGTGCCACCTTCACGGACAGACGCACAGGTAAAGCAGCTTCTCTAAGCTAGGTGATCTTGGGCCAAGGTTTTTGTTACGCTGTCAAAGACAGCGCTGGCCCCGGGCACCCAAGGCTGCCGAACAGAAGTGAGAAGTGTGAGCGTGGAGGGACTTCACAGGGGCAGCGCGCCCACTCAGGCTGTGTCCCGGGGATTAAGGGCACCCTCTTCTCAGGAAGAGAGGCTGTGCAGCTCATTTCCTCACGCCCCTCCTTTCCTCCAAGCCCTTTCACGGCTCCTACAGCCACCTGCACCCTACTGTTCAAAGTCTCACGTCTGAAACAGAGGTGAAGGAGCCTGGTCAAGAACCGGCACCTGGAGACGGCGTAGCTTCCTGGGCCGTTCTGCAGGACAACACGAAGCGGAAAGCCACTGGCACGGCGTGGCGTATCGGCAAAGAGAATCCCATCTGCAGGCTCGCATCTAGCTGCGTCTGGGGACAGACATACCTGCTTCTCCTGCTCCAAGGTCCGTGGATGCGGCTTTCTTAGCTTGCCTCCTTCCTCGGTTTCCGTGTCTGCTGCCAGACTGACCCTGGAAATCCACAAATATTTGGGAAATGAGTTTTATTTGTTGGTGGTTTTTTATTTTTGTTTTTCTTCCGGTACCAGGAATCAAACTCACGACCTTGTGCTTGCCAGGCAGGCGCTGTGCCGCTGAGCTAAACCCCCAGCCCCTGGGAAATGAGTTTTAAAATGCTGAAAAATGTGTTTGCAATGGCTAAACACTTAACACCTGAATGTTCTTTGAGCTTTGTACTTCAGCAGAAATAGAGCAATCCTAGGTCTTCTGGAGTGTACTCTGTGGAATGGAGCTTCTGTCCTTGCTATGGTCAGTCACCTGCTGACTGTCCTTCACAAGCAGGGTGCTGTCACCCTCACTCACCCCCATCTTTCTGTGGCATGAGGGAGTCACTTCTCAGCCAGACAGCTACTGCTGTCTCCTTTGATCTGCTTTTTTTTTTTGTCTTTTGAGACAGGGTCTTGCTTTGCAGTTCGGGCTGGCCTGAGCTCATGTTGTAGCCCAGGCTGGCCCCGAATTCACAACGACCCTCCTGCCTCAGCCTCCCGCGTGCTGGGATTACAGGCATGTGTCACCACGCCCGGCTTGATCTGCTCTCGATGGGGCATAAAGCAGCCAGCATGGGCAACACGGCTCACTTCAGGCAGGGCCAAGCTGGTGCCTTCCCACCCTCAGCCATGGAACTATGGTGTCCTGTGACAAAATGAGGTCAGAGAACTGCCTTCGTACCTGTTGGCTTGGAATGTGTCCGTGCATAACAGCAGGAGGGCTGTACTGCAGTGGCTGGCCAAGTAATGGGTACCTGGCATCTCCTGGAAGTCAATAAAATACAGTTTTCTCTCCTCAGTTATAATGTACTTCCCAGAGTTTTCTAAATTGTTCAAAAACAAGGAAAACAAGTTTGGCAGAATCCAACTTGTGTTGGTAATTTATATTTTATAAAAACGAAAAACTTGTACATGGCCCTTAGAGAGCTACATACAGCGAGCTTCTGAAAGGGTTAGGACTACTCATTGTGATTACGTAGGCTGCAGGTCTTTTTTTTTTGTATCAGGAATCAAACTCAGGACCTTGCACTTGCCAGACAGGTGCTGTGCCGCTGAGCTGTATCCCCAGCCCTAGTAATAGTGATTGCGAAGAAGGTGAGGGACAGGAATCTGGTGGATGGGGGACAAGACGGAGGAAAATTCTGTATACTCTTAGAAATATGTGTTGTTTTTTGAACGCTGTGAATGTATTATCTAGTTAAAAAGTAAACAAATGTAAAAAAGCAGATGAAAGTGAAATATACAAAATGGAAGAACAAAAGAATCTGTTATGATACTAAATTCTAATATCCCATATAAAATCCACCAAAATAACTAATGGTTAACATCCGCTTGAGATGCTGAAATCCACACCCTTTTATGACGATTAAGAACGTACATTTAAGCGGGGGAAAGAGCTCGGCCTAACTCTGCCCCTCTGCTCTCCATTCATCTCCCACATATATTTTTGCTGCGGCCCACACAGAGTACTGACCACTACGAGATCACGGCGAGCTGCTGGCGACCTGGAACTTCCCACAGGTATTTTTATAGTTATAACCAATATTTATGTTCTAGATATTCTTCACTTCTCTCTAAGTGAAAATTTACATTTACAGACTATTTATAGTCTGTCTCCAGTTGACAGACACTCAGGTCATGTCCCGTGTGGGGCACAGTGAAATAAGGTTATTATACACGTTCTTGTACAGCCCTGTCTAGACATGCTTCCATTTTTCTTTCACTGAGAAGACGAACTGCTAAGTTATATGACAACTGATTAACTGTCTAATGAGAAGCTACCAAATTTTTTCCCGGCATGGTTTTGTTATTTTATCTTCCCACTACCAATACGTAAGAATTTTAGATTCTCTTTGCCCGCTCTTGTCAGTCTTTGACTATAGTGACTGCAGTGGGTCTGACGTGATACCTCAGTCTGGTTTTAATTTTCCTAATGGTTAGCAATGCTTAGTACCTTTCCTAGGGCTCTTGTATATCTTTTCTTCTGAAATGTCTGTTTAACTTGTTTTTCAAAATCACTAACCATATTATGACTATTTCCCCAACCTTTTTTTTTTTTGGTACCAGGAATCGAACTCAGGACCTTGTGCTTGATAGGCAGTGCTTGTGCCACTGAGCTATATCCCTGGCCCCTATTTCCCCAACTTAACAGTTCTTTAAAGCATGATTTTTAAACAGCTGCACAGTATTCTTTGTATGGCTATGGCTATATTCCCCATCGATGGACATTTAAGTTGCTTTAATTTTTTTTTTGCTATAGAATAAACTATGTCCATCAGCCTTACGGTAAATCCCAGGAAGTAAAATGAAGATTTTCCATATTAGCTTATAATCATCTGCATGCATGTCTGTACCTCACAAGTAGACTGAGGGACAGTGACAGTAAAGACTTTTCCATCTTTTTATAAACCAGAAGCACAGTATGCCCTCAATAAATGTTTGTTGAATAAACTCTGGAATAAACTCGCAGAATGGATTATACACACTGAACTAACAGTATTAACAATAAAACATTAAGGTCGGGATAGTATGTGGTAAAATGTACTTTTGTGCAAAACTGAAAGGCAGTAGTGTCAAGATAAACTGCTAAGTGACTGGGAATGGATGTCTGACAATTCTCCGAGGCTGTGCCGAGCTTCCTCCAGACTTACCCTGCCCGGTGACGAAAGTTCTAGAAAACTGGGGCATGATGGAAAGTGGTGGTCCAGAGGGACGGATGGTTTTCAGGGTGGAGAGCTGAGCTGGTGTCGGTGACTGAGCTGGTGAAACAATGGGACTGCTGAGTTGAGGGCTGTGCTGCAATCGCAATACATTGAAACAAAAGGTCAGCTTATGGGCAGGGTTTTTGCACATCTTCTTTTTTCTTTTTGTCTTTTTGAGACAGGGTCTCGCAGTGAAGTTCAGACTGGCCTAGAGCTCACTTTGTAGCCCAGGCTGGTCTTGAACTTGCAACGACCTTCCTGCCTCAGCCTTCTGAGTGCTGGCATTACAGGTGTGCACCACCACGCCGGCTAGCAAATTTTCTTTTGGACAAAGAAATACTTTTGCTATGTGGAGGATTGAACCTAGGGCCCGTGCATGCTAGGCAAGTACTCTACCATTGAGTTATATCCTTAGTCCAACAAAACTTTTTTTTTTGGTATTGGGAATAAAACTCATGACGTTGCGCTTGCCAGGCAAGTGCTTTTGCTGCTGAGCTATATATCCCCAGCCCCCAACAAAACTTTTAATTCTTCCTTAATATATGCGCTTGTTATAAAAAATTCAAACCTTACAGAAATATGTAATAGCCACTCCCAAAGATAAACACTGACACTGTTCCCCCCCACCCCCTGGTACCGGAAATCAAACTCAAGACCTCATGCTTGCCAGGCAGGCGCTGTGCCACTGAGCTAAATCCCCAGCCCCTGACACTGTTTTTGTACATATGCATTCTTTTAAAAATTTATATATTTATTTATTATTTTTTGGAGGGTCTTTGAGACAGAGTCTCGCTATGCAGTTCAGGCTGGTCTTGAACTCACAACGATCCTCCTGCCTCAGCCTCCCAAGTGCTGTGGGATTACAGGCGTGCGCCACCATGCCTAGCTCAAAGACTGCATTTAGTTGCCATGGCTGTTTAATTTTTGTGGATAAGCTATTTTGTACAATGTCCCCAGTTTGGATTTGTCTGTTGTAGCCTCATAAAATATTAGCATTATTTGTTCTGAGAAGAAATACCAGAGGTGATTTTGGGTCTTTCTCTGTGTACCATGTCAAAGGAACCTGACTGTTATCTATTCCCACAGTCCTGGTGACATCTGACTCCATCTCTTGATTCAGGTGGTTATCTGCCAAGTGACTCCACCTTAAGCTGCTAATTTTTCCTCTGTAGTTTGAATTATCTCATGAGAAGACACTTTTAAAAAACTTTATCCTTGGAGTTATTATTTTTTAAAATTTTAATTTAAAGAAAAAAAAATTTCAAGACAAGATGATACGAGGGTAACAATGGTTAATACACTGGGTACTATTATCTTTATTTTTATTTATTTTTTATATGTGCTGCTGAAGCGAGCACTGGTATTGTTATCTTTAAATTAGTTAGAGTACAAGATATTGGCGTGGGAAGACACTTCAAAAATATCCTAGTCTGCATCGAACTTTCTTTCACCACTCGTTTTAGCATTTAGCGATGATTCCTGCTTGGCAGTTTTCTGGTGATGTTCTAACTCGAACTCTGCAGTTTACCACCTCACATTTTTCTGTATGAAAGTGTCACTGTTCTCTTCCATTTATTCATTTACATCAGTATGGACTCATTTTATTGAGTGGGCTGTCTTTTCTATTATTCTTTTATGCCCCAAACTTTGAAGACCCATTTTTTTTTTTGGTACTGGGAATCGAACTTAGGACCTTGTGCTTGCCAGGCAGGCGCTTATGCTGCTGAGCTATACCCCGGGCCCAAGCCCGATATTTTGTCTTTGTCATATCCCCAACATTTTTCCAGCTCTTCCTTTTGGGTACAGCCAGATGGTCTAGGCTTAGCAACAGTTATTTCTCTAAGGGGCTCTTGTTTCTTTTAGTGGAGAACAGTATTTAAAAACTACCTTCTGGGGCTGGGGATTTAGCTCAGTGGCACAGCACCTGCCTGGAAAGTGCAAGGTCGTGAGTTTGATTCCTGGTACTGGAAAAAATCCAAAAATCCAAAAAACCAAAAAAAAAAAAAAACTACTTTCTGGTGTATGTTATTATTTTCAGTATATACATGGAAGGGTATTTTCCTATGTGGCAGTTATTTATTTAATCAGTTAACCTTTGTAAGTACTGTACCATCACACCTGGCTTGTATGTATATTGTATACATATATTTTTATAAGCTTGTTCCAAAATTTTTTGTGGATGTGCTGGGGGTGAATCTAGGGGGCCTGCATGCTAGGAGGCAAGTGCTCTACCACTTAGCTATAGACCCAAAACCCTTGTTCCAAAGTTTTTACAGAATGATTTCAGAAATAGATTTGTGGAACAAAGGCTTACACTTCCTGGATTTTGAAAAAAATCACCAAACTGCATTCCAAAAAGATAGTTCCAACTGATATTACCATCAAAGGTATATAAGACAGCTTGTAACTAGGTTTGCCAACGTAACAAATACTTTCCTGAACTTTCCCAATTTTATAAAGTATTTTGTCTTTTATCTTTGTAATGGCCATTGGACATGTATAGTTTGTGATCCACAGATGAAGTCTGCTCTTTTTATTTTGCTGTGACTTTGTCAAGTACACTGAAAAGTTTTTTTTTTGGTACCGGAAATTGAACTCAGGACCTTGCGCTTGCCAGGCAGTCACTTATGCCACTGTTTTTGACTATCTCCTGATGATTTTTCCTTGATCCATTATTTTTAACAAAGTTGCAGAATGATTTTCGATCATTGTTTCTGCACTTATTAACTATTCTAAGACGTAGATTTCTTTTTTTTCATCTTTTTGAGACAGGGTCTTGCTGTGTGGTTCAGGCTGGCCTTGAGCTCACTGTGTAGCCCAGGCAGGCCTCAAACTCACAACGATTCTCCTGTCTCAGCCTCCCGAGTGCTGGGATTACAGGCGTGCGCCACTACGCCCGGCTAGATTTCTAATTATCTGGTCACACTAAATATAGTTCCTATGGAAAAGGTAGCACAAGTGCTTGATTCTTTTTCTTCACGAAACTTTTTATTTTCTGATTTCTTTTTCTGTGCTGGGGATGGACCCCAGGGCCTTGTACATTTTAGGTGAAGTATTCGACCACTGAGCTGCACTCCCACATGTTTTTTGATTTTTAAGTTAAATTCTTTTTGAAGATAAGAGAAAGTGGCAAGTAATATTTATTATTGAAACAAACATCTGGATACAGAGATTGTTCAAACTTCTTTATGTACTTGATAGGATTTCAAATTTAGTGTCAAGAACAAGTTTAGTGTTGATCTTATGCGATGCGAAAGTAAAGCTTCGAAACGATAATGAACAGCTGGGTGTGGTGGCGCTCGCCTGTAATCCCTGCACTCGCAAGGCTGAGACAGGAGGATCCTTGTGCGTTGAGGTCAGCCTGGGATACATAAGTGAGTTCAAGGCCAGACTGAAGTGCATAGTGAGACTCTGTCTCAAAAAGACAAAACAAAAACGATAATGAACAAAAGCATCTTACCTGGACAATATTGTCTACATTGCTAAATTCGACACACTTCTGCCCTCTCTGGTGGTCACAGTAGTATTTATTTTGTTTCCACTGAGGGGGTGAGTGGGCACCAGACTGTGGATTGTTTGGTACACTGAGCTGCATCATCACCATTCCTCCACCAGGTGGCGCTGGCGGCACAGCTGCAAACCAAAATAATCAGGATACTGCAATCAACGTATTTCAGTAACTAGCTGGCATCTCTGAACACTAGGGTAACAGCAGTAATATAACATTTGTGAATAAAATTTTACTGCTAGACACTTCAGAATTTTTAAGCTTTAGTATATTATATTACAAGCACTGTGTTTTAAAAGATGTTAAAGTGAACTGTTTAGGCCTAAACATCTCTAAAAACAGTAGCCCTATAGTTATTCATTGCACGCCAGACACTTCTGGCAGGACCTCGCAGAGAACACGCAACGTGCATAATCTACAAAGATCTTTCATCTTTTAAATGAATTGTAAATAGGTGTCGTTCTAAATTTAAAAAATTGTGAACACTCACTATCCTACAGAAATATATGCATGCAGTAAAAACTCACCTTTATAGACAGGGAATTAAAAGTTTGGGATATGGGGGCCAGAGGGGATAATTTTAGTCACTGAAATGTCCTCTAACCCTGGGAATATTATTTCCCCTCTTTATCTTATCTTTTCATCAGAAAAAGGAGGCTAGGAAGTCTTCTCCGGCTGGCTTTATTTACACATTTGTAAGGACCGTAAGTGTGCTAAAACACTGCTAACTGTGCAGCAGAAGTAAGCGATGACCGTGTCTTTTCTGAGGCATCTGCGTCGTGTACTAGCACTGCGTCCGTGCACGTGCGCTTCCTCTTCCAGTAAGCACGGGTGGGTGCGGCAGACCCGGGCCCTGCCTCCACCACCTCAGCCGGTGCCGTGCCGTGAATCAAGGTGGTTTCTGGCCCCCCAGATATAGAAACAACTTGACTAGCACGGCCAACCACGGAAGAGCTGGCCGGCTGCACACAGGTATCTGGAAATTCTCCTCAGCCAAGGTGGCCCACTATAGTCATTTACTGAGAATTGCTTACTTCTCAGGAGTTTATATATATTAAAAAAAAATCATTAGAGTAACACTTGGTATTATTTACTAGAGGTTTGTATAAGATTTGACAGAAGCACAGAGGAAGAATGAATTTTCTTAAAGTCTGGAAGAAGCCTTTGTCAAACAGGTAGTTTTCTGAGATGCATTTATGAATGAGAAGGACTTTGGCAAACAGAACAGGTGGCAGAAGTATTTTCGGGATGGAATAGTATACTGCACTACAAAAACGAAGTTCTGTGTGACTTGAGCAAACGTATACATTCAGGGGTTTGGTTTGCAGGGAATTTAGTGGGAATTCTGTCAGAGAAATGACGCAAGACCTCAGGACAGTAACTTCTGAAATTGTGCATGCGTGTGTGTATGTGTTATGTGTATGTGTTTTGGGGAGGATGAAAAGTTGGGGGTGAGAAAGGCATGAAGCAGACTTTTAAGAGATTACTGCAGATGAGGTAAGAGCACTGTGGACTGTCTGGTACAGTGGGGAAGGGAGGCAGGCCATCAGGTCTGGGGAACTGGCACCTGCACCAGCGTGACAGGGAAGGACAGAAGAGGTCTAAGTACAATTTGAAATTCCCCCCCAACCTGACCAGGACTCGAACTCATGAGCTTGCGCTTGCAGGCAGGCGCTGTGCCGCTGAGCTAAATCCACAGCCCCCCGATTTGAAATTCTCCATTCGGTCTGTTGGCGGAGGGTGAGGTACGAGACGCACACAGAGGTGGGAAGTAACTAGTCTGATGTGCCTCTGACACAGCTGGGTAGGGACATTCAGTAGGGATCTGGCCGTGTGGACTTCTCGGCAGAAGTAAGACTTGGGAGGGGCTGGCAGAAAGCAGGGGCTGAAGCTAGGGCAGGCAGGCTGGAGTGTGCACACGGCGGAGCGGTGAGAGGAAGGCCTGGAGAAGGCCCCGGGCGCACGAGGGGGCGGGGAGGAGCAGAGTAGCGGCGGCAGGGAGGAAGGCGCGACTGTCCACACCACGCCGGGCTCAGCGGGACACCTTCAGTGTCCTGAGCATGCGTCTCTCATTACACGTTCAGAATCTTCTTGTGGAGATACCCACGAAAATAACTGAGCTGTCTCAAACGGGCAAGCCATGACCTGGTTTTGCGCGATCTATCCGTACCCGCACACTGGTGGCCTTGAAGCTGCTGAGAACCGCACGGTGAAGGAGCTCGGGGGAACTGCACTTCCGATCCTGGGTGCTGCAGGTAACCCACCGCGGAGCTGCGGGGAGAAGTGAGCACAAACAGCGCGGTGAGACGCGGCGCTCCCGGGGCTCTCTGAACTAGCCGCCCCACAAGGCTGTCTAAACAAACGGATTTCTCAAGTTGGGAGGTGGGAAAGGTCAAAACGATCTCTTTGTGAATTAGAAGTAATTATTGAGCAAAATTTGCTTTCTGACCATAGCACTGAAAAATCAGGAGAACATTAAACTGCTCTTACCTACATGGGTTTGATTATAGAAACTAACAAAGTACTCTCTAAATAATGAAAAAACACTGTTCAAATCATTCCAAATGTCTTTTGTATCACTCCAATAATTATTTTAAAAAGAAGAAAACTAAGTCATTCGTTTCACAAAGTAAGAAGGACTGCACTTTGGGGCCGGCCTGTAGCTCAGTGTACAGCCCTACAGCCCCTGCACTGCACTAGTGGCCCTGAGTTCTACCCCCACCAGAAGGCTGCAGAGAACACAGAATTTCTCACTGATCAGACTCACATAAATATGTCCCGGAAAATGTACTAAGAATGAAGGCACCAACAAACATGTTCAAACATTTTAGTATAAAAACTGAAAAAAGGGGACAGTTAGTATAATAAGTTACTCCTGTATTTTTTTAAGTGTTTGGGACCTAACCTTACTTAATAAGGATTTGTCACAATTTCTCTAAAACTTTCTTGTAGGCAAATTCTTTTAGAATAGCAGTGTAAAGTTACAGCACTATACAAGCTGTAAATGATCAGCAAATTTGATTTACATCTAAAGGTTCATTAGTTTTTTTTAGTCGTCTACTGAGAGCTTTTAGAAAAGCAGTATTTCTTAATCAGTTAACAATGTTTTGGCACTTGCACGTCATATAATTATATTAAAAGTACTACGTAGGTCCTACTACTGAATGAATTACAGAGAATACAGGAGGACGTGAAGGACACCAGATGATACACTCAGTCACGTCCAGACCACGAGAGACTGTAAGACAATGTTTGAGGACATGAGCAACATTTGTGAGGTAGATGTGTTTTAGTTAAGGAATTAAGGAAATTAGGAATTAGTTGGAAATTTTTTTAAAGACATGAAATGATATTATGGTTATGTATGTCTTAAAAAAAAAAATCTTTAGGGCTTTAAAGAAACCTATATGGAAACGGTTATACATGAAATCCAGGCACGGTGGCACCTGCCTGTAATCCCAACATTTTGAAGGCTGGGCAGGATCAAAAATAAAACTACGCTCTCCAACCAGCCAAACACAAACTTGAAACACTTACATATGAAATAACATGATACCTGGAAATTTATTTCAAGATAACACGGGAGGGCGAGTGGCAGAAATTTAGATGACAATAGGTCAGTCAGTCATTAGCTGATGATAGCTACAGTTAAGCCTGGCAAGCAGGGTGCAGCACACTTCTGTTCATATTTACGTATGTTAAACGTGTCCAGGGGCTGGAGGTGGAGCTCAGTGATACAGCACATGTTTAGCATTTTTGAGGCCTTGGGTTTAACATCCTTAGCAGCACACATACATACAATATCATAGTAAAACGTTAACAAACAATTCTGTAATTTAGACAGACAAATTTCCTAATTAAGTAAAGATCATCAGTTTCTTCTTTTTTTTAGTGACAGTAGCTCTGTGCAGTTCAATAAAAGAGAAAAATAAAGAACTACGAAGAGAAGATTCATAAAAAGTGACTTGGGGACCACATGTGAAAGTAGTACTTTCTCAATCTGGTGTTAATCATAGTTAGACAATAAACAGTTTTTTTGTTTGGTTTTTATTCTGTTTGAGACAGGGTCTCACTATGTAGTTCAGGCTGTCCTTGAACTCACTAGGGAGCCCAAGCTGGCCTTGAACTTGCAGTGATCCTCCTGCTTCAGCCTCTTGAGTGCTGGGCTTACAGGTGTGTGCCACCATGCCTGGCTCTAGACTGTATATAATTATTAGTTACCTGTGGAAATAGTATAGCTTAAAAAACATGTGTCAATACTGAGAAGAAGAGCAAGTTTCTCACAGGGTGGAAAGTTTTTAGGCTTTCTTCTAATTCATGTGAATAGCTCCCTTGGGTCATGTGGCCCTTCTTACCCCGATCTTGTTCATTAAGCATATGTTACTCAAACTCTGAGTCATACAGGTAGCAGGAAGCCACCCAGAAAAAGGAAGAGAATTTTCATGCTGTTGAACTGCATAATGTATCCCACATTACTAAATTGCAAACTGCTAAAACAGTTTATGGTAAATGACTCAAAATCAGGTTTCAGAATTGTTTTTTTTCTTGTTTGTTTTTTGACACAGGGTCTCACTGTGTAGTTCGGGCTGGCTTTGGGTTCACTTTATAGCCCAGGACCTTGACTTGCAGCAATCCTCCTGCCTCAGTGTGCTGGGATTATAGGTGTGCGCCAACCATGCCTGGCAAGCAGCAGATTTTAAAAAGTAACATACTAAGTCTTGCCAGGTGTGGTGGCGCACACCTGTGATCCCAGCACTCAGGAGGCTGAGGCAGGAGGACCAGTGCAAGTTCGAGACCAGCCTGGCTACATGAGCAAGAAGGCTTCCTTCCAAAGATGCAAAAATGGCCCAATATAAGCAAATCAATAAATGTTGATACAACACGTAAGTAGAAGCCAGGACAAAAATCATACGATAATCTCAACAGATGCAGAGAAAGCCTTTAACAAAATCCAACATCTGTTCAGGAAGACCTTCTCTCTCAATCTCGTAAAAGCCATTTATGATGAACCTACTGCCAACATCACATTAAAGGTAGAAAAGGCTGAGAGTGGTGGCACACGCCTGTAATCCCAGGACTCAGGAGGCTGAGGGAGCAGGATCACTGTGAGTTCAAGGCCAGCCTGGTCTACAAAGTAAATTCAAGGCCAGCCTGAACTGCATAGTAAAATCCTGTCTCAAATAGACAAAATAAACAAGTAACTAAATGGAGAAAAGCTGAAAGTTTTCCCTCTAAAATCAGAAACAAGACAAAGATGTCTGCTGCTATCACCACTTGTGTTTAACAAAGTTCTCGAAACAGCTAGAGCAATGAGAAAAGAGAAATTGAAGGGATTAATATAGGAAAGAACTTAGTCAAATTATCCCTATGACAAACTAGTCCTTATTTGCACACAACATAATCCTTTATACAGAAGACCTGAAGAATTCCACAACAAGACTCTTAGAATTAGTAAGCAAACTCAGCAATGTAACAGGATACAGAATTAATACACCATAGTCAATAATGTTTCTGTGTGCCAATAGTGAATCCACAAAGAAAACAATACCCTTCAAAATACCATCAAAAATATTAAGTACTTAAGAATTAACCTAAGGAAGTGAAAGACCTCTAAACAAAACTATTGTACTCTAAAAAAGAGAGATTGAAGAGGCTCAAAATATGCAAAGATGCCCTTGCTTGCTTTGCTACCTTCTGGCTGCCATGGACTGTTTCTGCTCCGTGATGCCCCTCTGCCATGCCTCCCCGCCTTGGAGCCAGCTGACTATGGACTGAAATCTCTATACCCTGTGAGGTAAACAAACCTTTCCTCCTTAAAAAAGAAGAAAGGAAGGAACGATATCCCTTGTGCCTGGATAGGTAGAACCAACACTCTCAAATGGTCATACTTCCAAAACTGATACACAGGTTTACTGCAATCCCAATCAAAACACCAATATTCCTCACAGAACTAAAGAGGATCCTAAAATTCATATGGAACCAGAAGAAAGCCAGAAAAGCAAAAGCAACCCTGGGCAACGAGCAAAACAACTGGACTGTGGAGGCATCACAACCTTGGATTTCTAGTTTTATTCTAAAGCTATAGTGATAAAGGACAGCATGGTGCTGGCACAAAACAGACATGTGGATCACTGGGACGGAATAGAAGATGTAGAAACAACCTGAAGCACATTCGGCCACCTGATCTTTCATAAAAGCACCAAAAACTTACTTTGGAGGAAAGATAACCTGCCTAGCAAGTGGTGCTAGGAAAACTGGCTAGAAATATGCGCAACTGCTGGGGATTTAGCTCAGCGGCAAAGCGCTTGCCTGGCAAGCGCAAGGTCGTGAGTTCGGTTCCTGGTACTGGAGAAAAAAAAAAAAAACAAAACAAAACGAAATATGCGCAACTATGTACTGAACTAAAATAAAAATGGATCGAAGAACTAAACAGTAAAACAATTTACTAGAAGATAAAATAGATAAGTTCTCTTCACTTTGTTTTTTTTTGTTTTGTTTTGTCTTTTTGAGACAGGGTCTCACTATGCAGTTCAGGCTGGCCTTGAGCTCACTTTGTAGCCCAGGCTGGTCTCGAACTTGCAACAATCCTCCTTCCTCAGCCTCCCGAGTACTGGCACTGAAGGTTTGCGCCACCACCCAGCTTTAGAAATCTTTAGCCGATGTCAGAGCATGACTGTCTGGAGATATTTATACTGATAATCTACAAATCTTCATTTTGTCTGAGGGTCGGACATGAATAGCTAGCCTTGGTATTTCTGGAAGAAAATAGTTTTCTACCTCCCAAACTTTCTTCAAGACAAGAAGACTTTCATTTTATGTATTTTTGTAATAAGGATAACACAATATTAAATCTAACACCATATGGTCAATTAATAAAAATAACAGCCAGGCATGGTGGTATACAGCTGAAATCCCAGCACTTGGAGGGCTGAGACACAAGGATCGCTGTGAGTTTGAGGCCAGCCTGGGCTACAAAGTGAGTTCAAGGCCAGCATCAACTGCATAGTGAGACCCTGTCTCAAAAAGACAACCCCTCCCCCCAAAAAATAGAACAACAAAGAACAAAAACCCGACAAAGGATGCCAGAATGTACCATTTCATAAATTCTGAGTAATATTTTCACCAGTTAGAGACTGTGTGACATGATGAGTCCTGTTGATGAGCATCCCAGCGAAACTGGTAATTAAAAACCAACCATTAGGTCCGGGGATGTAGCTCAGTGGCACAAGTGCTTGCTGGCAAGCACAAGGTCCTGAGTTCGATTCCTGGTA